CTTACAATTGAACATCACACTGAAGCAATTGTACACATCCAAATCTAAAAATGTAGAGTAGTACATTCTATTTCAAACAATTCAATAGTGTGTGGTTGTGACTTACAAGTCAATTTTGTATATGCAGAGGGACACAGTCAGCACTATGAAAAACAGGAAGCCGATACACACAGACACCACAATGGCTTCCATCTGCCCGGGAGCTGAGGGACAAACATAAAGACATAAAGAACTCTAGAACGGACGTTGGGATCCCAGCAACATGCCTTAAAATCGACCATCTTGGTCAGGAAAACATTCCTTCTAGAAACTGTGGACAAACACAGGTTGAAGATTTAGTACAACTACCGCAAGGGAAATAGTCAGGAGGACAAATTGAATAGAGTCAAGTAGTGACTATTAAATGTATTTGCACCTTAAAATGTAACATGTTCAGGACTGGAGGTCTTAACTAGACATACAGTGCATTCGGAAAGTATTCAGGCCCGTTTACTTTTTCCACATTTTGTTACGTTACAGCCTTATTCTAAAATGGATTCAATTGTTTTTTTCACCTCATCAATCTACACACAATACCCCATAATGACAAAGCAAAAACAGGTTTTTAGAGATTTTTGCAAATTTATAAAAAATATAAATATTACATTTACATAAGTATTCAGAACCTTTACTCAGTACTTAGTTGAAGCCCCTTTGGCAGCGATTACAGCCTCAAGTCTTCTTGGGTATGACGCTACAAGCTTGGCACACCTGTATTTGGGGAGTTTCTCCCATTCTTCTCTACTGATCCTCTCTGTCAGGTTGGATGGGGAGCATTGCTGCACAGCTATTTTCAGGTCTCTCCAGAGATGTTAGATCGGGTTCAAGTCCGGGCTCTGGCTGGGCCACTCAAGGACATGTCCCGAAGCCACTCCTGTGTTGCCTTGGCTGTGTGCTTAGGGTCGTTGTCCTGTTGGAAGGTGAACCGTCGCCCCAGTCTGAGGTCCTGATCGCTCTGGAACAGGTTTTCATCAATGATCTCTCTGTACTTTGCTCCGTTCATCTTTCCCTCGATCTTGACTGGTCTCCCAGTCCCTGCCGCTGAAAAATATTCCCACAGCATGATGCTGCCAACACCATGCTTCACCGTAGGGATGGTGCCAGGTTTCCTCCAGACGTGACGCTTGGCATTCAGGCCAAAGAGTTCAATCTTGGTTTCATCAGACCAGAGAATCTTGTTTCTCATGGTCTGAGAGTCTTTAGGCACCTTTTGGCAAACTCCAAGCGGGCTGTCATGTGCCTTTTACTGAGGAGTTGCTTCCGTCTGGCCACTCCACCATAAAAGCCTGATTGGTGGAGTGCTGCAGAGATGGTTTTCCTTCTGGAAGGTTCTCCCACCTCCACAGAGGAACTCTAGAGCTCTGTCAGAGTGACCATCGGGTTCTTGGTCACCTCTCTGACCAAGGCCCTTCTCCCCCGATTGCTCAGTTTGGCCGGGCGGCCAGCTCTAGGAAGAGTCTTGGTGGTTCCAAATGTCTTCCATTTAAGAATGATGGAGGCCACTATGTTCTTGGGGACCTTCAATGCTGCAGGCATTTTTTGGTACCCTTCCCCAGATCTGTGCAGACAATCCATTCGACCTCATGGCTTGTTTTTTGCTCTGACATGCACCATCAACTGTGGGACCTTTTATAGAAAGGTGTGTGCCTTTCCAAATCATGTCCAATCAATTGAATTTACCACAGGTGGACTTCAATCAAGTTGTAGAAACATCAAGGATGATCAATGGAAACAGGAAGCACCTGAGCTCAATTTCGAGTCTCATAGTAAAGGGTCTGAATATTTATGTAAATAAGGTATTTCAGATTTTTTATTTTAATAAATTAGCAAACATTTCTAAAAACCTGTTTGCGCTTTGTCATTATGGGGTATTGTGTCTAGATTGATGAGATTAAAAATGTAATGTAATACATTTTAGAATAAGGCTGTAACGTAACAAAATGTGGGAAAAGTCAAGGGGTCTGAATACTTTTCGAATGCATGAAGTGTCCCTTAAACAATGCTTCACTCACCATACTTCAGAGTATTGAATGACAGGTCTGAGCCGTTTGTAGAGCCTTGTATTGTAGAGGCCATGATCCGCACCACCTGCTTACGGTTGCTGGCCATGCCATCCACTGTGTAAGAGTAGGAGTCCGGGGAGACAACTATTGCTGAAAAAACAACAAAGAAATTCATGTTTTTCCTGATCGCAGATGTAAATATTTAAGTTGGACAGATACCAGCACTAACTGTACTTACAAATATCAGTACTTAAAAATACTTCCTCGTATTTCTAATAAGAGTAAAGGAGATCCATAGTCAGAGCAACATATTCATAGAGAGGTATGATTAAAGGGATACGTCAGGAGGGAAGTAGATAAAAGGCTTCATTGCCAAAATCCTGACGCATCCCTTTAAGTACACCATGTTTATATTGGAGAAGGCTACGCCTTTAAGTAGCGACGCCTTTAAGTTGATCATGTTGTGAGATGGAAGTTATTTTCTGTTGGTTGTGAGCAAACTTGTCCAACAAAAATATTGGATATATTTGTTATCTTAAGGGGGAGGTGTTACAGACGCACAAAAAAGCTAATTTCTCTAAAATGTTGGGCACAAATTTGTTTACATCCCTGTTAGTGAGCATTTCTTCTTTGCCAAGATAATCCATCCATCTGACAGGATTGGCATATCAAGAAGCTGAACAAACAGCATGATCATTACACAGGTGCACCTTGTGCTGGGGACAATAAAAGGCCACTAAAATGTGCAGTTTTGTCAAACAAAATGCCACAGGTGTCTCAAGTTGAGGGAGCGTGCAATTAGCATGCTGACTGCAGGAATGTCCACCAGAGCTGCTGCCAGCGAATTTAATGTTAATTTCTCTACCATAAGCTGCCTCCAACGTTGCTTTAGAGAATTTGGCAGTACGTCCAACCGGCCTCACAAACGCAGACCACATGAAACCACGCCAGCCCAGGACCTCCACATCCGGCTTCTTCACCTGCGGGATTGTCTGAGACCAGCCATCCGGACAGCTGATGAAACTGTGGGTTTGCACAACTGAAGAATTTCTGTTACAAACTGAAACCGTCTCAGGGAAGCTCATTTGCGTGCTCGTCATCCTCACCAGGGACTTGACCTCACTGCAGTTCGGCATCGTAACAGACTTCAGTGGGCAAATGCTCACCTTTGATGGCCAATGGCACGCTGGAGAAGTGTGCTCTTTACGGATGAATCCCGGTTTCAACTGTACCGGGCAGATGGCTTCGTGTGGGCGAGCGGTTTGCTGATGTCAACGTTGTGAACAGAGTGCCCCAATGTGGCGGTTGGGTTATGGTATGGGCAGGCATAAGCTACAGACAACGAACACAATTACATTTTATCAATGGTAATTTGAATGCACAGAGATACTGGGACGAGATCCTGAGGCCCATTGTCGTGCCATTCATCCGCTGCCATCACCTCATGTTTCAGCATGATAATGCACGGCCCCAAGACGCAAGGATCTGTACACAATTCCTGGAAACTGAAAATGTCCCAGTTCTTCCATGGCATGCATACTCAGACATGTCACTCATTGAGCATGTTTGGGATGCTCTGGATCGACGTGTATGGCAGTGTGTTCCAGTTCCCGCCAATATCCAGCAATTTCGCACAGCCATTGAAGAGGAGTGGGACAACATTCCACAGGCCACAATCAACAGCCTGATTAACTCTATGTGAAGAAGATGTGTCGCGCTGCATGAGGCAAATAGTGGTCACACCAGATACTGACTGGTTTTCTAATCCACCAGATACTGATCTTTTTTTAAGGTATCTGTGACCAACAGATGCATATCTGTATTCCCAGTCATGTGAAATCCATAGATTAGGGCCTAATTTATTTATTTCATTTGACTGATTTCCTTATATGAACTGTAACTCAGTAAAATCTTTGATATGTTGAGTTTATATTTTTGTTCAGTGTAGTAATACATCTACAAGATGTGGATCCTTACAGCGTTCCTTGCCTCCCTTGATGTAGATGGTGTAGTTAGTGATGAAGCCTCGCTGTTTGTCCAGTGGAATCGCCATCCATTCCAGCTCAGCGTCGTTCTTCCCTGTCCTCCTCAATTTCACAGAGGGACCCTCCAGTGGAGCTGCATAAACCAGAACAGATGGGGAAAACATTAGTTAAGGTTATTTCGACATTTACATGTTTGTCACCAGCTACTGTAGCAAATATAACATTGGTCTATCAATGGTTGAACTGTATGGGGCGGTTTCAGAGACACAGATAAAGCCTAGTCCTGGTTTCACAGACACAGATTAAGCCAAATCCAGGTTTTACAGACAAAGATTAAGCCTAGTCCTGGACTGAAGAGCTATTTCAGTGGAAATTCTCCATTGAGCATGCTTTTTAGTCCAGGACTAGTTTTAATCTGTCTGTGAAACCAGGATTAGTCTTAATCTGTGTAACCAGGATTAGTCTTAATCTGTGTAACCAGGATTAGTCTTAATCTGTGTCTGTGAAACCAGGATTAGTCTTAATCTGTGTCTGTGAAACCGCTCCTATAGATACTACACTGTGCTTTCTGTAGTGTACTGTAGTTTAGTGACTAGTACTAGTTTCATTTCTTACCTCCTTGTTCCAGAAAGGTTGCGGTGGTCAATGGCTTCCCAGTCCACCCAGAGTACATGGGATACACAGATATATTGTAGAGCTTGAATTTCTGAAGGTTACCTTGATTGGGAACAGTACAATAACATTTTGATTTATTTTATCCCTGTGACCCGTTTAGCAGTTTTGATTGATTAGGACCACAACGCAATAGAGTCAACATTAGGGATGAGTTCAACACAAGTTTTTCATATTCAATTAGTTGATGGTTTTGATTTATCTTGTTATTTTAATCTAACTCATCCCTAGTCAACATGATAACCATCAAAACCTGTAGAAAGACATCCACGGAGCAGCCAAACTACAAGACAATCGTTAGTTAAAACATGGCATGTGTCTCATTCTTACCTTTAATTGGTGCCTTCCTGTTGTGTCTAGGTTCTCTCTGCCAGTCCATCGCGCCGTCGCTGACCGAAACCCACTCTAGGACATACTCCGTCACCCCTGTGGCCCCCAGATTGGGGGGCTGCCACTCCACCCACAACCTCCCGTCCTGGGTAAAACTACTGAGCGACGCCACTGGAGGGGGCTCTGGAATACACAGCACATACGGATACAACATGACATCATGACATGAACATCTCAAAGCCAAGCTACAGTGCTTTCAGTTAACATGCAGAACACATGACATCAGTGAATCGTTGACATCGCTATGGTCTCTCTTGACCAACATTCCTATTAATATATGAACAGAGCTAGTTAGCTAGCACAAGATTCAGTTGTTGCTTTGATAATTGTATTAACATAAAACGTTAATATAATATATTACCCAATATCATTCATTATTATTGGTAACATTTTACAAAGGAAGAATGAGAGAGAACATTTTAGCTGACAAGGTCACACACCGTGGGCCAATTTAGGAATGCCCAAAGACGCTCGGGGAGACATGCCAACAGAATTCCAGGCCTTCAATTCAATGGAGCCTCTTCTCTTGTCAGACAGTAGAATCTGGTAAAGGGGGATCATTTTCCTCTCCTGCGACCTGGAGTTCAGCTCAGAGCCATTGACCGGCACAGCCTCCCAGGCTCCATCTTGGATCTTAATGTTGTAGCCTTGAATCCTTCCATTGGACTCCACTGGATCCTATGATGGGAAGAAGAAGGCAACAACCAATCATCACAGGGTTCTACGCTGACCTTTGTTACAAGGAGCACGTGTGCGCCCAAGTTGAAAAATGTAGGAGCACACAAAGAAATGTAGGAGCACAATGAAAAATATTTGAGGTTTAAAGCTAGAATCCTTAATTTCTCTAGGCGCACTGGTGCTCCTAAATTAAAATTATAGGACGCACAGCATAATATTTAGGCGCGTATACGAGTAAAATGTTTGCACTGTAGAGCCCCGCACCAATAATTATTCAAGCCATATAGCTGGTAATAAAGCAGTAGTATGCTCTTCATTACCTTACACATCACTTGCACTCTCCGCCCACTGTTGCCTTGGCTGGGAATGACCACTCTCCATAGGTCTGGCTTACTTGTAGGCTCTGGACAAAGAAGAGAGCAGAAATCACACCAGTCATCAATTTGAGATAAATTATGGTGGAAAATAAGTATTTGGTCACCTACAAACAAGCAAGATTTCTGGCTCTCACAGACCTGTAACTTCTTCTTTAAGAGGCTCCTCTGTCCTCCCCTCGTTACCTGTATTAATGGCACCTGTTTGAACTTGTTATCAGTATAAAATACACCTGTCCACAACCTCAAACAGTCACACTCCAAACTCCACTATGGCCAAGACCAAAGAGCTGTCAAAGGACACCAGAAACAAAATTGTAGACCTGCACCAGGCTGGGAAGACTGAATCTGCAATAGGTAAGCAGCTTGGTTTGAAGAAATCAACTGTGGGAGCAATTATTAGGAAATGGAAGACATACAACACCACTGATAATCTCCCTCGATCTGGGGCTCCACACAAGATCTCACCCCGTGGGGTCAAAATGATCACAAGAACGGTGAGCAAAAATCCCAGAACCACACGGGGGGACCTAGTGAATGACCTGCAGAGAGCTGGGACCAAAGTAACAAAGCCTACCATCAGTAACACACTACGCCGCCAGGGACTCAAATCCTGCTGTGTCCCCCTGCTTAAGCCAGTACATGTCCAGGCCCGTCTGAAGTTTGCTAGAGTGCATATGGATGATCCAGAAGAGGATTGGGAGAATGTCATATGGTCAGATGAAACCAAAATATAACTTTTTGGTAAAAACTCAACTCGTCGTGTTTGGAGTACAAAGAATGCTGAGTTGCATCCAAAGAACACCATACCTACTGTGAAGCATGGGTGTGGAAACATCATGCTTTGGGGCTGTTTCTCTGCAAAGGGACCAGGACGACTGATCCGTGTAAAGGAAAGAATGAATGGGGCCATGTATCGTGAGATTTTGAGTGAAAACCTCCTTCCATCAGCAAGGGCATTGAAGATGAAACGTGGCTGGGTCTTTCAGCATGACAATGATCCCAAACACACCGCCCGGGCAACGAAGGAGTGGCTTCGTAAGAAGCATTTCAAGGTCCTGGAGTGGCCTAGCCAGTCTCCAGATCTCAACCCATAGAAAATCTTTGGAGGGAGTTGAAAATCTGTGTTGCCCAGCGACAGCCCCAAAACATCACTGCTCTAGAGGAGATCTGCATGGAGGAATGGGCCAAAATACCAGCAACAGTGTGTGAAAACCTTGTGAAGACTTACAGAAAACGTTTGACCTGTGTCATTGCCAACAAAGGGTATATAACAAAGTATTGAGAAACTTTTGTTATTGACCAAATACTTATTTTCCACCATAATTTGCAAATAAATTCATTAAAAATCCTACAATGTGATTTTCTGGAATTTCTTTTCTAATTTTGTCTGTCATAGTTGACGTGTACCTATGATGAAAATTACAGGCCTCTCATCTTTTTAAGTGGGAGAACTTGCACAATTGGTGGCTGACTAAATACTTTTTTCCCCCACTGTATAACGACACAAAGTGTACAGTCCATATGGACTACCTACCTGGATCACACTCAATACTATTGAACTTAAAATCACTCGCACACTCTCGTCATGGCTCTACACGGTTGCCCGCAATGAAAGGCGATAGTTTGACATATGCTTGTTGTCATGGCTACTCACTGTCCATTGGGGTCTTGGCGGTAGTGTTGGCACTCCAGTCACTCCAGTAGCCGTAGCCAGTGTGATGCATGCAGCGGACCTGCACTACGTGCTTCGTGTCCGGCTTGAGATATTGGAGACGGAAAGACTCCTTGCTACTTTCAGTGTCATTTGGGGGCACCTATAACAGTCAATTAAATGGGTATGATGACAGATGGACACGAGAGGGCAACAAACTTGTGCGTACAGAACGCCGACTTGAAACAGCTCCAACAATACAGATGAGAGTAGCATGTTTGATTCACTGTTGAGAACACCTAAGAATGAGAATAGGATAGATGACTTTTAACAATAAAAGGCCCAGTGTGTAGCTTTGTGGGTGACTTGACCAAATTCACATAGAAATGTTAGCTACAGATCTGTCATTCTCATTGAAAGCAAGTCTGATAAGCGGTAGAACCGTACGATGTGCGCTATTTCTATGCTTCCTGTCCTTTACGCTCAGCTTTTGCGTCTTTTTACTTTCGGACTCAGTCGGGGTCTCAACTTACTGTTGAGAGTTAGAATAGTAGAATGCACCAGGTGCAATTTCAAAATGTGGTTGTGCCTCAGCAGTTTGTCTCTTGTTATGTCAGTCACTGACAGTCACTCAATTAGCTCATGTCAGCTAAAATGTTTTAGATTGGTAAGTAAGCTGGCTGCTAGACTATCTAAACTTGTAGTAATCATGGTTGAATTACCGACTGGGAGTCCCCATTGATCATCATATATCATATTAAAAACTGCAAACATTTGTCTTCACCCTATGGCAAAATGTGTAGAATTGCAGCAAGCTTTTTTGCTCTGCCTGGAATACTCCTGAACTAACCATCTCATGTGCATTTTGTTAATGGCGCAGATCCTTTCCAAAAAAAGACTACACAACAGATGGCCTGGAAGTAGACTTACCTCGACATTAGTCAACTTCTGAAGTCTAAAAAACGTTGAACACACTGAGGTTGCAGTAAATCATCCCTTTAACTTGTACTGAGATTGTAGCTATTTACCTCAGTCCAGTTTCCAGAGCCCACAGTGCAGAACCTGACGTTGTATTTCAGTTTGACAATGGTTTCATGGATAGGTTGCTTCCAGCTCACTAAGAGAGTCCTGGAAAAGTTCTTCTCTGAAATAATATTGACATCTGATGGGGGATTCGTTTTCACTGCAAAACAGGACACACACCATTAAAAACTCTGGAGGAAGATAATCATTGTAACTTAAAAGGGCATTTGGAATGTCCATTTGCCTCCACTTACCCATTTCATTAGGATCCATTATAAGCAGAATGTCCGATCGAGCCTTCCCCAACTTGTTTTCCACATCTACCCATATATCCAGTTCCATATAGCTTGGAAAGGTGCCGAAGTCGACGTATCCACTGCTTCTCTGAGCTTTTGTGCTGTGGGTCTGGTTTATGGTACTGCAGAAGAACACAAACAAATCTTGACACACCATTTTGGAATCAGACAAAAAGGTACATGAAAACACAATAATTATGTATATTTTTAAACAATTAGAAATCAGCAATTTACATAAGCCACCCACACTTTTAAGGGGTTATCAGAACTGGAGCCAGGTTTTCCATTCACTGATTATTGAGATCTATTGACAACTAAATGTTGATATCCATCATGTATCTAACCCTATTTAACTCTCTCACCCATCACTGTACCCTCTATATGACTTGGCTGGCCTTCCTTAGCTCTTCGGAGACTAAGTCATTGGTACGTTTTCATTCATAAGGCCATACGGAGACAGCTCCCATTTTACCTGAGTACCTACGTTGTCCAGCAGACAAATGACAACTATCGGCTACGCTCACATGACTGTATCTTGTTGACTGTGCCTACGGCCCGTACTGAGCAGGGTAAAAAAGCGCTCCAGTTCTCTGCCCCATCCACTTGGAACGACCTACAAAAGGACATGAAATTACGAGAGCTTGTCTCTTTTAATGAGTTCAAAGTGGACAATGAAGTGGGGTGGGGGGGGGCTGTCAATGTGTTCACCCTAGATGCACCACACCTCCCCAAAGCTTCATGACTGCTTAATGTGTACATTTATTTTGAACTGTAGTGCTTTGTTCTTTATGTTGTAAAATACATGTTCTTATCTCAATAAGACCAACCTGGTAAAACAAAATAACAATGTGTATAGGGACACTCACGTTATACTTCCAAACAAGGTGTATGTGGTTACTAGCATATTGTCTCTTGTCCCAGGCTGCCATGTGCACATCACATTGGAGGAGATCTGTTGGCCAGACTGGACAGCCATGCAGGACAAATTCCCAGGCTTCTCAGGGGGATCTGACCAAGAAACCAAACAGCAGCTGTTATTTCATGTGAGAGAAACAAACCAACAGCCACTGACCTACGGCACTGAGCAGGTTGGGATCAATTCATTTCGATTCAGGAAGTCAATTGAAATTAACTTCCTGAATTGATAACGGGATTGACCCCAACCCTGACACTGAGAGAAAGCTTTAGGGTCATTCAGTGTGAATATGAAAGAAAATTGCACATGACATTTTCCTTTGGAGGAATTTGGATTTGTATCTAAATGAATTACTCAGAAATTTGATTGAAATAGAGATATTTACCAAATGAAGACCTAAATTCAAACCTAAATTACTGGCAAATACTTACAAAAAGTGGACATTATGTTCCATTTTGACATGAAATAACCCTTTATTGATGTGAAATCCCTGGCATACTTACACCCCTTGGTCAATGTAATCGCATGGATTGTTTTATTTTGGTTTAAGAATTCCTTCTTTTGACATTTTAAAAGTCCTCCAGTTTCGCTGGTGATGGGAATGGTTACGCTAACAGCCGAGTCGTTTATCTTGGTGTACTGCTCTTTGGGCACTGTGAAGTCATTACACGTCCAGTAGATGTCGTCCACTGTGGCTTTAGCAGCTTCATAGAGTACACAGGTAGCGGTGAATTCCTTCCCAATTTCCACTATTGGAGATTGTGGGATTATTGTTCCGTAGGTTGTGATAGAACCTAGAAAAAGTCCAGGGCACACATCAAGTCAATGCTACTAGGAAATGTAGGGTGAATTTTACACTGAGGGAAAAGGACATCTGTTTAACGGTGTTTTTGTGGTAATTTTGAAACATATTACTAGGGTCAGTACAAAGCTCACTTTCATTAAAGTACAGCAACTTAAAGGGTTTATGTGCAGTAGAGGTTTATTCAAACATATCAGACTAAGTCACTCTGGATAAGAGCGCCTTCTGAGCAGTGCTTACTGACTAAAATGTCCATTTAAATGTAGTGGTACACTTACTAGAAGTGGCCCTATAGGCCAGACATGCCAAAGACAGAAGCTGCAGCAAACGGTATGATGACTTGTCCATGATGCCTGAGGGAAGATTCACAAATTCACAGACTCTCCAAGACTAGCCAAGATTGTATCCCATTACTGGCACATGGGTTCAGCACCTTATTTTATATTCAGTACTTTACCAATAAGTAATAACTGTTTAGTTAAGTTTTATGAGGCCTTCACTCTGACTAGGGCCTATAGGGAATGAAACCAATGATGAAGCCAGCTAGGTAGGTTAACTACCTATAGCTAAAATCCCAAAAGTATGCGTATGTACTGTAGCTAGCTATATGGTTAGGAACAAACAGTAGGTAGCTAACTCACTCTTGGCAGAAAATCATATGACAGCTTCAAAATAAATACAATATTATCTTACTCTGTCTGCTACTTGTAACTCCATCATATGAAAGAGTTCTCAATAAGGTTATAAACTTGATTATTTTAGATAACTTGCCAGGAAAAATATCTGAATGCTGATTAGTGTGTTTGCTGCTCACTACAGAAACCTCTCAGCTTTAGATGTGGTTCTATTTTAGACACCTTCATCAAATGTAGCTAGCTACAGTAGCTAACAACATAAACGTTAGCATATACCTAGCAAGCTAAACAGAAATAATCGGGTTGTCTGGCGTTACAAACACATTTAGGCTATAGAGCTAGCTAGCCATCAGAACATATTTGAATCTTGATTGATTGAATATTTCTGTGTACGTCTGTCTGTTTAGTGCCAACAAGCTAACGTTAGCTAGCATAGCCAGCTAGAAGACCCAGACAAGATATGACAACAACAAAAATACTCACCTTTTATGTATGTGTCTTGTTTGGTTCCTCCTTTATGTAACGTTATACTAACTTACTTAGCTACGTAGAAGTTTGTAGATTCAACATATTTTAGCTTAAACCATAAGATACTTCTTCTGGGGCTACCTTGTCACCACTTCCAGTTCATTGCATAACGTTAATCATCAAAAGTTATAAAACTTCGGGGAGCAGCGCAAATAATACAGATATATAAACATAACGATTGATCTAAGCATTTGTGCAGTTTGACAATTACTTGTCTAGAGATCTGTGCAAACGAACTGCGCGGAATTGTTGCCCTTGTGATTTGCTAGAAGAATTGTCTGTCACATAAATACTTACCAATCAAAACGCATACATTTTATTACTGTTTTCCAGTTAATCTCCACCCACTTTCCCTAAATGCGCCACGATATGCCAGGGGCGTATTCATTACGCCGATTCTCTTGCAAAATGTTTCTTAAACAGAAACTAACGGAACGAAACGGGAAGGGACCTACCTTAATTTGTCCTATAGAAACTCTCGCTTCAGTTGCAAAATGTGTAACTGTTTGGCTAATGATTATACCAAAGATTTGTATAACTAACCCAATGGGAACACATTTGTCATAGTGGGCAGAACAAGCAAGGAGCGTGGCAGAGCCAAGCACAAGTTGGCGAGATCCTATTGGCGCGTTCTAGCATGTATTTGCATATTTCCGTTAGAAAACGACTACTTTGTGAAGTGCGCGTGTCCAATAACTCAATTCGCCCTTGCACTCCTTCTAAACAACATTATTTTTTTTTACTTTGGCAAAGCGTAAAATCTATAAAACGTATCAAATGTTTCATAGATGCGAAAATTAGCATAATGTCGGCCAAAATCCATCTTCTCCCACTGCAGGCCACTTGGCATACTCTCATCACGATATTTGGTAGTGAGTGGAAACGCCAGCTGGACGCGTCACACTTATACATCAGGTGAAATATCTGGCTCATTGTTCTATCTGCGATTATAAACTGTTTATAATAGCAATAAGGCTCCTCGGAGGTTTGTGATATATGGCCAATATACCACAGCTAAGGGCTGTGTCCAGGCACTCAGTGTTGCATCTTGCTAAGAACAGCCCTTAGCAGCGGTATATTGGCCATATACCACACCTCCAACGGCCTTATTGCTTAATTATACCCCAGGACATGACCACCCACAGAGCCTAGCTTGACTTGTTTGTCTGTGGCTGAATCATATGTAGGCTAACTGACACTACAAGCTCAACAACAAGGACTGTATGTTGCTTTGTTTAATTACTATCCTAACAGAGAACCGAGGAAGCTATACTATGGAGAATTTAATAAATTAAGTGGTTTCAAACCTTTTTCCTTTTTTTTCTTCATTTCTGTTTCTTAACAAACAATAAACATCAACAAACAAAAGAGGAATAGTCACATACAAAACAGCATACATACAAACTTTTTACATTGCCAGGAATCCTACACAAACAAATCATATTCATTAATAATACTACAGGTTTTAATTTCCTTTTTTTGTAATTTTTTCCCCCACGCACCAAATTAGTGCACTAGGCCTTTATTACTCCTGTATGAGCAGAGCAGAGCAAAATACTGGTCAGCAGAGCGAGGAGGAATGACACCCCCCCGTGGACTTTCCGACCTGAAGGTCACTGATGTCATGACTTGACATCGTTTTTTTCCCCAAGTTCCCAGTTGTCTTAAAAGCACCATGAATGTGACCAGCGACCAAGGACTGTGTGCTCAGGTCTCCTGCCACAACATTTACATTTTAGTCATTTAGCAGACACTCTTATCCAGAGCAACTTACATGAGCAATTAGGGTTAAGTGCCTTGCTCAAGGGCACATCAACAGATTTTTCACCTAGTCGGCTTGGGGATTAGAACCAGCGACTTTTCGGTTACTGGCACAACACTCTTAACCACTAAGCTACCTGCCGCCCTACAACGAGACTGTAGCAGCCCACTGAGCTAAAGCCTATGGCCATACGCTTGGGGGAGCTAACCCAAGTCTTCAGGTCTCAGCAGTAAGTGTATCTCACTCAGGTCACCAATGTCATTACACTACCACCATGAATATGCTTGATTTTCTTTTGACAAAAAAAATGCACGTCCTGCCCCATCCCCTTCCCCTCCCACATACTCAGACCTCCCTAGTGGTTACAGTAGTGATAATAGTCAACATAGATCTCTGCCCTAGCGCCAGGACGGCTTGGAGAAAAGATACATGAAAGGGGAATAAATAAAAAACTGTCAGACCAGTAATAATGGAGGATCATAGACATTTCCTGTATGATGATCAGGAATGGATCAATAAGTTGATCGTGCATAGGCAAACGTATCTGTGCCTCCTCTCCTTCACACAACTGAAAAATATCCAAACGCAGGCAAAAAGAATACAAATGTCATATGTTTTATTCATTTAGCGAAACAGTCACATGACAAACTAAACGTAAAGCCTCAATTTCAAAGTGCAAGAAAATCAAACAGTACACAGTGCATGCCTTGAATTGTGGAGTTTCCACCACAAAGTACAGTATAAACGTGTAAAAATAGGATGCTGTTTATTAACAAATGTTTGCAAAGTCTTGAGCAATTTACTGTGGCATACAGTAGAGTTCCTTTTGATGAGTTTAGTCAGTTTGTACACTCAGGGCCAATTTTTATATATATTTTTTTACACTTAGGGACAAATTCCACAGAAAATGGCCTGCTGCTAGCTAACCCAGCCAAGTCCCAATTCCAATCAGGTCCACTCCACCACATATCTCCCCAAGCCTCCAATGAGCCATGCGGTTGCATCAGGTTCTGTCGTCCAGTTTACTGAGGGTGTCCATTTTGGGTTGGCCCACAGTGGGGCTGTGTTTCCTCTGGGATGGGATGGCGGGGAGCACCTGGACGCTCCTCAGAGGGTCTCCATTCAGCATGGGCAGGAAGGAGCACAAGGACGGGCTTTGGGGGATCCCTGGCCTCTGGGACTTGGAGGTCACAGGTGGCGGGAGACCTCCTTGTCCCCGACCCAGGGTGTTGAGAGGCAGGGACTTGCACTTCTTTACCCCTTTAGAGACTTGGTCTGGTGGCAAAGAGACTGCAGAGGGAAAAGCTTGTTAAGTGTTTGGTGATGTGTTGGCGATCATGTCTACACCTCCACCTCTCAACATTCGGACATACCTTCCTGTGCACTGAATGTGACTCTGCCACTCTGGAGTGAAACACTACAGCCGCCGTCTACAGACACTGCCTCAAGACTTGACCGAAAAAAGTCACAAAGCTATGTGTACACTCTAGTAGCACTGGGCTGGCTATACTGAAATTGTAGTGGAATATGTTGTATAGATTGTGATGTTGACAGTGATACTAAGGCATGACAATACATCCCCAAGGATGGGACCTGTTTCCCTTACAGAATATAACATCGAGCCCTCTAGTTTTAGCACAGAAAGGAATCGGATTCATGCATGCATTCAGAGCTCTGAAGTTTTCAAGGCTACATAGTCATGAAAAAAAGTACTTACACCGGTGGGTACAGTGGTCACGAATGGGGGCCAAGCAGTTCCGTGTTAGGGCAGTTTCCCTCATGTTTAACCTGTCCAGAGGTAGCAGCTGTGTATTTGGAGCTGTGATGAGGAGAAGTACATCATGTTATTAGCATGCACTTGGATGCATACGTTGTGGCAATGTAATGCAGATGTTACGTTCCCTTGTTGAGAAGAATCATCAAAACTCAACTGCATAGAAGTTCACACATGTTCTCTTGCATCACTCCCTTGCAAAATAATGTCAATCTATTTTAGACAGAAAAACGGTTAGGCCTACTGGTTTTGAATCTAAGTGGTCTCAAGGTGTGAACTGTGAAGTCAAGTGTAGCTATCTACAGTATATTATCTTAGCAGGATGTGGTTTTTTTGCTAACTGCTGCTTAGCTCTGGTGAAAGGAATGTGATGACTCACTTGATAACTCATGAGAATGCACCACAAGTTTAGATGTTTCAGTAAGTCACACTTCCCCTCTGCTAAACCAGAGACTGTTAGCCTCTCCTTTTTGTGAAGAACTCAACTCATCCTACCTTGTAAAAGACAACTCATCCCACCTTGTGAAAGACACAACTAATAATACCTTGTTCATTCTTCTGTATGTATGGGGCTTGGTGTGGGCAGAGGACATCCATAGGTCCGGAAGTCTCATGGTACAGTTTGTCCAACAGCCTTTCTGTTGGGGGTGAAATCCAGGATTTGTGGGCCAAAATGGACTGATTGGACTCGGTCTTCCAGGAATGACTGACCAACGCTTGTCCCTTCGGCCTGCTGTCAAACAAGTCATGCTCACTCTTGCTTTTCTGAGAGCGGTGGGCAAAGTGATTGACCATCGGCCTCGTGGTGTGACTCTGCTCCACAGCACTCTGGGAGATGGCCAGCAAAGACGTTCCCAGATTGATGGGCGGAAGACTTTGTGTCCGTATGGGAGGCAGTCCCTTGTAGTCCTTCGCGGTCCGGATGTCGAGTGGATTGAGTTTCTGCGCCGCTTCGACCAAAGGCCGTTTCCTGACTTTGGAGCGTTCGTTTTCAGGCTCCTTGGCCGAGGAGGAGTCCGCCAGGCAGTCAAACATGGTGATGATGTCATCCACCTCTGAGGTCTCCTCCCTCAGGTGTCCGTCGCGGCCCAGCTCTCTCTGGCGGGCGGCATAGTGCTCCTTCCTCTTGCAGGAGAAGATCTGATTGAGCATGCGGAACTTGCCCTCCTTCTTCTGGGACGGGTCACTCCCCTGGGAAGGCAGCTGGGACGGGTCACTCCCCTGGGAAGACAGCTGGGACAGGTCACTCCCCTGGGAAGACAGCTGGGACGGGTCACTCCCCTGGGAAGACAGCTGGGATTGGTCACTCCCCTGGGAAGGCAGCTGGAATTGGTCACTCCCCTGGGAAGGCAGCTGGGATGGGTCACTCCCCTGGGAAGGCAGATGGGATGGGTCACTTCCCTGGGAAGGCAGCTGGGATGGATCACTGCCCTGGGAAGGCAGCTGTCTGGCTGATTCGGCTCTGTGGACAATCAATCAATGAGACCATAAAGTCTTATTCACAACTCTGGTTTAAGATGGATGGCAGGCATTTTCTTTTCCCAGAGATTTTTGGCTTTACTAATCTGCAAATAATCGACATGTCCGACTGCACACAGAATTATTGCATGGCCATTTCCAGTTTGGACACACCTACTCATTCAAGGGTTTATCTTTATTTTTACTATTTTTTCAATTCTAGAATAATAGTGAAGACATAAAACTATGAAACAACACATATGGAATCATGTTGTAACCAAAAAAGTGTTAAACAAATCAAAATATATTTTATAATTGAAAATCTTCAAATAGCCACCCTTTGCCATGATGACAGCTTTGAGCATTCTCTCAACCAGCTTCATGAGGTAGTCACCTGGAATGCATTTCAATTAACAGGTGTGCCTTCTTAAAAGTTAATTTGTGGAATTTCTTTCCTTCTTAATGCGTTTGAGCCAATCAGGCTCTGTCGTAGCCGGCCGCGACCGGGAGACCCATGGGGCGGCGCACAATTGGCACAGCGTCGTCCAGGGTAGGGGATGGAATGGCCGGCAGGGATGTAGCTCAGTTGGTAGAGCATGGCGTTTGCAACGCCAGGGTTGTGGGTTCGTTTCCCACGGGGGGCCAGTATGAAAAAATAAAATAAATTAATGTATGTGGGGGGGGGGGGGGGTATACAGAAGATAGCCCTATTTGGTAAAAGACCAAGTCCATATTATGGCAAGACAGCTCAAATAAGCAAAGAGAAACGACAGTCCATCATTACTTTAAGACATGAAGATCAGTCAATGCGGAACATTTCAAGAACTTTGCAAGTTTCTTCAAGTGCAGTCGCAAAAACCATCAAGTGATGAAACTGGCTCTCTTGAGGGCTGCCACAGGAATGGAAGACCCAGAGTTACCTCTGCTGCAGAGGATAAGTTCATTAGAGTTACCAGCCTCAGAAATTCCAGCCCAAATAAATGCTTCACAGAGTTCAAGTAACAGACACATCTCAACATCAACTGTTCAGAGGGGACTGTGTGAATCAGGCCTTCATCGTCGAATTGCTGCAAAGAAACTACTACTAAAGGACACCAATAAGAAGAAGAGACCTGCTTGGGCCAAGAAACACGAGCAATGGACATTCGACCGGTGGAAATTTGTCCTTTGGTCTGTAGTCCAAATTAGAGATTTTTGGTTCAAACCGCTGTGTCTTTTGAGATGCGGTGTGGGTGAACGGATGATCTCTGCATGTGTAATTCCCACCGTAAAGCATGGAGGAGGAGGTGTTATGGTGTGGGGGTGCTTTGCAGGTGACACTGTCTGTGATTTATTTAGAATTCAAGGCACACTTAACCAGCATGGCTACCACAGCATTCTGCAGCGATACGCCATCCCATCTAGTTTGGGCTTAGTGGGACTATCATTTATTTTTCAACAGGACAATGACCCAACACACCTCCAGGCTGTGTAAGGGCTATTTGACCAAGAAGGAGAGTGATGGAGTGCTGCATCAGATGACCTGGCCTCCACAATCCCCCGATTGAGATGGTTTGGGATGAGTCGGATAGCAGAGTGAAGGAGAAAGCAGCCAACAAGTGCTCAGCATATGAAGGAACTCTTTCAAGACTGTTGGAAAAGCATTCCAGGTGAAGCTGGTTGAGAGAATTCCAAGAGTGTTCAAAGCTGTCATCAAGGCAAAGGGTGGCTATTTGAAGAATCTCAAATATAAAATATATTTGGATTTGTTTAACACTTTTTTGGTTACTACCTGTTTCCATATGTGTTATTTCATAGTTTTGATGTCTTCACTATTATTGTACAATGTAGAAAATAGTAAAAATATAGAAAAACCCTTGAATGAGTAGGTGTGTCCAAACTTTTGACTGGTAGTGTATATGCACACACACACACACACACACGCACACACGCACACACACACACGGAATGCAGCGTTATTCAACCTGTTGTCAGCTGAGAGGAGCTTGATGCAGGCAGTGTGGCCACAGTACATTGCATATGTAAGCGGTGTGTTCTCATTGATATCCCTGGGCCCTGTCTCCACCCCTAGCTGCAGTAAGGCCTGGACACAGTCCTCCTTCCCCGCTGCTGCCGCCCAATGAAGAGGGGTCCTGGAGGATGAACAGATCTTATTCTTTCCACCGGATCAACCTACATGAATAGTGCAGTTATTCATGATAAATCAATGCATTTACCAACCAGTATTGGTCAATTCCACGGTAACAGAATGATGCTGAGACTTTGTCAAACATTTTCTATGCACAATGACTACTTTTATAAATTTGGTAACTGAATGACGGCACAAACAGCACAAACTGTCATTCTGTTACCAAACTTTGCATCTGCACTGTTCTTCAAGTAAATTTGTTTTTGTAAAATGTTCAGTGGAAATTGTTAAAATTGGTCCTTGTGCATGGAGATTTATGGTTTGTTTAACTTTGCAATCAATGGTTTTTGTTTGACAAACATAGACTGGTGGCATGCAATTTCAAAGAAAACAATGTGCTGCCATTTCTGTTACCGTTCGTCTACATCCAGGGCCTGCAGGTTGGTCTCAGCAAAGCGCGCCAACTCATAGAGGATGTCGCTGTATCCGGCGGCAGCGGCGATGTGAACGCAGGTCTTGCCATTTTCGTCGTCATAGTTGATGACCGAGGAGCCCAGGTGGTGATCCAGGATGAGAGAACACATTAATCTGCTGCCACTCTGCGAGAGAGAGAGAGAGTGAGAGAGAGAGAGAGAGACAGAGAGAGAGAGAGAGAGAGAGAGAAAGAGAAGGATGATTAGAACAGCAGGGTTTTAAATCCATTGAATAAGACTGTTAGCTGCAGGGAGCTAAGGCATGTCTTCAGGTCTCAGGCAAGGTTACTCATCAACACAAGCATGGTTCACTGAACCACCTCTGTTTCATACAAAGGCCCGATTTGCACTCAGAACAAAAACTATTTAATGACATATGTGTGTAATGAAGATATTTATTGCTTTTTTAAATGCAACAGGGCAGGGGAAGTTAGATGTGTGCTGATCTAGGATCATGTCCTCTGTAGCTCAGCTGGTAGAGCACGGCGCTTGTAACGCCAAGGTAGTGGGTTCGATCCCCGGGACCACCCATACACAAAAAAAATTGATGCACGCATGACTGTAAGTCACTTTGGATAAAAGCATCTGCTAAATGGCATGTTATATTATTATGTCTCCCCACAGTCTATTTAATCTTATTCATAGTGATCAAAAAGGCTAAGCTGATCCTAGATCAGCACTTCTACTCTGAGACGCTTGATATATACAGCCTCTGACCATCACTGCTATGAATAATTGCAGTGACATTAACAACCTGATCATGTTGCAAATTGACAAAGCTGACTAAGACAACTCTGACCATGTATTAGAATATGGTGCACTGATCTTGTGTCCCACCAGACACTTCCTCATTTCAGACTATTTTGGGATTCACATGTCACAGTATGGGCCAGGTGGTGGCACTGGTATCCTGAATGAGAAACAAATTACATAAAACAGAACATGATCACTGCGTGGTTGCTCAGATGTGTGAGTCTAGAAGTGGATTTATCTACAATGCATAGTATGTAATGCACCTGTACTTGCAAGCTTTTAAATCTACTAGTGTAGAAGCTTTAGAACTAAAATATGTAGTGTAGAAGCTTTAGAACTAAAATATGTAGTGTAGAAGCTTTAGAACTAAAATATGTAGTGTAGAAGCTTTAGAACTGAAATATGTAGTGTAGAAGCTTTAGAACTAAAATATGTAGTGTAGAAGCTTTAGAACTAAAATATGTAGTGTAGAAGCTTTAGAACTAAAATATGTAGTGTAGAAGCTTTAGAACTAAAATATGTAGTGTAGAAGCTTTAGAACTAAAATATGTAGTGTAGAAGCTTTAGAACTAAAATATGTAGTGTAGAAGCTTTAGAACTAAAATATGTAGTGTAGAAGCTTTAGAACTAAAATATGTAGTGTAGAAGCTATCAGCCGATGTGGTTTCATAAATGGCGGATTATTGCAAACCTTGAATGAAGCCAGAAATAATTACCAGACAGTAACGAAACAAAAACGGTCCACAAATAAATAAATACAGTGACCTGCAAAAGTATTAGGACAGTGACACCTTTTTTGTTGTTTTGGCTCTGTACTCCAGCACCTTGGATTTGAAATGATACAATGACTATGAGGTTAAAGTGCAGACTGCAGGGTATTTTCATCCATATCGGGTGAACCGTTTAGAAATTACAGCACTTTTTGTACATAGTCCCCCCATTTTAGGGGACCAAGTATTGGGACAAATTCACTTATATAAATTCACTTGTATGTGTATTAAAGTAGTCAAAAATTTGGTATTTGGTCCCATATTCCTAACACACAATGATTACATCAAGCTTGTGACTCTACAAACTTGTTGGATGCATTTGCTGTTTGTTTTGGTTGTGTTTCAGATTATTTTGTCCCCAATAGAAATTAATGGTAAATAATATATTGTGTCATGTTGGAGTCACTTTTATTGTAAATAAGAATAGAATATGTTACTAAACACTACTACATTAATGTGGATGCCACCATGATTACGGATAATCCTGAATGAATCTTGAATAATGATGAGTGAGAAAGTTACAGAGCCATAAATATCATACCCCCCCAAAAATGCTAACCTCCCCTGTTATTGTAATGGTAAGAGGTTAGCATGTCTTGGGGTATGATATAAAATGCTAACCTCCCCTGTTATTGTAATGGTGAGAGGTTAGCATGTCTTGGGGTATAATTTTTGTGCATCTGTAACTTTCTACATACTACATTTAGCAGACGCTCTTTTCCAGAACAACTTAAGGCATGCTCAAATGACAATCTCCATTGATTTCTTTGTCCAGGCTTAATTTGTGTCCGTGAAACTGGCCCTTAAAGACCTTGTTCAAATCCCACAGTGGCAGTAAGTTTTCCCCTTTCTGCACTGCCCAATGGAGGGCTGTCTTCTACCTGCACTGTCCAATGGAGGGCTGTCTCCTACCTGCACTGCCCAATGGAGGGCTGTCTTGAAGTCCTTGTCCACCAGTGTGGGATCCGCCCCTTTCTGCAGGAGAGCCTGCACATGCTCAGGACGGTTGTGGAAAGATGCCCAATGAAGAGCCGTCATGCCCTACAGAGAACCAATGAGAATCGATCGTATTGCAAACTAGACATAGCTTTCTACACACTGAATGTAGCATCATCTTAGTTTATCATTCCTTATTGTTGGTTACTCCTGAGTTTTTTCCTGACCACATCAACCTAAAACTAGGGCCTGGAGCTTTACATTGTCAGGTGGTCAGAAAAACTCCAGGCCCTACTTATGGTACATCAGAGCGTAGATGTCAAGAGCAGGATTTCCTATTCAGGTCATTCATCATGCTTTCCCTCTTAGAGCTAGTAGACTTCCGTCACATCAGGGAGAGGCTCTTTTTATCGTATTCGGCCTCCTGTCCCATGCCAGTACTGTGTATTCTCAGGTTACTACGGTATCACTGTTCAGCTCTCATACCTCGTTGTCTTGGTGGTTGATTTCACACGCAGTCGATTGCTGCAGCAGGACTGCCATGAGTCTGCGAATCAAATCAAAGGTTGTATTGTCAAAACCTGCACAACGTGTATCAAGGGTAATGGGGCAGGTTTGAGATAAGACTACATTGCAGTCGGACTGCACAGAATCACAGATCTACACATCACCATAGCAACCCAAATAAGTATTCATTATGTGATCAAGAATATCGATTCTGCGCCTCGCCTTATTCAAACTGATCCCCTGAAACATGCTGTTATTCTGCACTAACGGATCCCCTGAAACATGCTGTTATTCTGCACTAACAGATCCCCTGAAACATGCTGTTATTCTGCACTAACTGATCCCCTGAAACATGCTGTTATTCTGCACTAACTGATCCCCTGAAACATGCTGTTATTCTGAACTAACTGATCCCCTGAAACATGCTGTTATTCTGCACTAACTGATCCCCTGAAACATGCTGTTATTCTGCACTAACTGATCCCCTGAAACATGCTGTTATTCTGCATTAACTGATCCCCTGAAACATGCTGTTATTCTGCACTAACTGATCCCCTGAAACATGCTGTTATTCTGCACTAACTGATCCCCTGAAACATGCTGTTATTCTGCACTAACTGATCCCCTGAAACATGCTGTTACATTTTTACATTTTAGTCATTTAGCAGACGCTCTTATCCAGAGTGACTTACAGTTAGTGAGTGCATACATTTTTCATACTGGCCCCCCCCGTGGGAAACGAACCCACAACCCTGGCGTTGCAAGCGCCATGCTCTACCAACTGAGCTACAGGGGACAGTAATATATCATTATTCTACACTAACTGGCTCACATGGGGGGTTTACAAACATGGTACTAATAGGAGTGTCCAAATGCTACAGACTTATATTTTGTTATTCAGTCTCGGCTGTGGAGTTGAGGGTAAGTTACTAGGCTACGCCTCTGCAATTCAACCAATTCAACGAGAGACCTCTCATTTACTGTTATCAAGTCCGGCAGCTAATAGAAGAGAGCTTTGCCAGATGGCCTGGGAGAGACAGGAAGCAGGAAGAGAGAAAGTGCCTCTGTTGTTGTCGACCAGATGCAGCACTGGGCTGCTGGATCCCTGTCTTCCCACGTTCAGAGAGAGGGAGCAAGATAAGGGAGTGAGGGAGGGAGAGAGAGAGAGAGCGAGAGAGAGAGAGAGAGAGAGAGGGAGGGAAAGAGAGAGCGAGAGAGAGAGAGAGAGAGAGAGAGAGAGAGAGAGAGAGAGAGACCACTGGAGCAGCTGCTGCTGCCTTAGCATATCAAGCAAAGGTCTGTGGTCGCTATGGGGACTGCACACACAGACACACACACACACACACACACACACACCCTGGTAAACCAGGCTTTCCTGTTAGAGTAAATAAGCTACTAAACTTGCAGCAGTCGCTGAGCCATTAGCCTCCTTTTATATACATAACATGGACAGTGTAACATGGAGACTGAGTGCTTATTGATATTGTGTGTGTGATGTTACAGAGGTGGCCTTTCTATTTCCTGAAGTGGATGCTTGCTAATGCGCTTGTTGTTCAGCATCTTTTATGCCATGATTACGCCTATGACTCATATCTCCAACGGTTTCTTCTAACACCATTGTTTTCAATGCCTACAGATGTAGGATCTTAATTTGATAGGAAATGCAAACTTGTAGTGTATTTTAGTTTTTAAAAGGCTTCTAAAGTTTGTAATTTCCACTTTGAAATGTCTGACTTGATTTGCCCTTACAAAAAATGCACCAACCCTTACAAAAATGCCCATTAATTATAATTCACATAATAATTCAATTTCCTGTTGCTGCAGGATAATTTTCCTGCTGTAGCAAACTGGCTCAAATTAAGACCCTACATCTGTACTCTATAGTTAGAATAATGGCTACGCTGTAAACATGTTTTAAATGAATTATTTGCTAATGCTCTCACTTGAGGTCGATCTCAGCGGTCGCTGCGTGAAGAGGCAGGCGACCATTTTTATCGGGGATGTTCTGCTTGGCTCCATTTCGCAGTAAACACACGCAGCCTTTAAGCCACCCCTTCAAAAGACAAAAAAAAAAATGGAGGTTATCACGGCACTTCTGTTTTTTTTGCGACAGAACCATATAATGTGGCTTTTTGAATGTGCTGCTCAAAGACAAATGCACAAAGGATTTAGTTTTTCAAAGAAAACAGTTGTTTCTGACAATTATGCAATGCACTTTCTAAAAGTTGCCAGACAACTACTTGGATGGCTGTTGTTCAGTACAGTTTAGACTCTAACTTCATAAGAAATGAACCATACTCCTGACTATTAGTGTGACAGACATAGGGATCCGCTTTCAATACTTGCATCCTTCCCTTTTAAGTAATCAATCACTGATATGACAGGATTTCTTTCACTATTCAACTGTGTCATGTTAGATTGTGACTTTAGTCCAACGAAAGGAGGAATGAAGAGGCTTATAAAAAGTATTCATACAGCCCTAATGTATTTGGATGAAGTTATCTACCGGTATGTCAGGTGCTGAACATCTCTATATAATAATAATAATAATAATACATGTGATTTATATTTACATGTACATTTACATTTTAGTCATTTAACAGACGCTCTTGTCCAGAGCAACTTACAGTTAGTGAGTGCATACATTTTTCATACTGATGCGCTTTTCAGTGACCCAAAGTCGCTTTACAATTGTAGAAACTAAACAAAAAACAGAGATCACAACAAAACCAGTGAGCGAGCAGGTGTTGTGTGTTGTGTGTTGTGTGTGTGTGTGTGTTTTGTGTGTTGTGTGTGTGTGTGTGGTACCAGATATGTCGCTAGGGAGAGCGAGGTCCTTCCACAGGCATCCTGGGTATTGATGGAGGTGCCCATCTTCAGCAGCAGTTTCACCGTGTCCACCTGCCTCCCCGACACCGCATGCATCAAAGGGGTGGAGCCTACAGCCGGAGAACATGGGATAGATGGCACATTAAACATATGGGTGCAGTCTTGAAAGTCACTCCCTCTCCTTGCCTCCTTTCCTTTATCAGTAGTGGGCTGCATCCCAGTTCTCCCCCCTTCTCCCAAAGTGTACACTCATGGTGGAAAGTCTAAACTCACTTCAGCCAATACCTGACGGTGTAATTACTTACACCAATCATATGCTTTAAAATCCATGAAGGGGAGTGTACAAGTGCATACATCTGGAAAACGGTGGATAATTAGGACTTTGTTTTCTGATCAATGGCATCTGTCAATGAAGGACTGGAGACAAGGGAAAGAGGTCACATTACTAGGGCTACTGAAACCCTGATCCCAGAACAAGGCCCTGTAGCCACGCTGTACATCAAGAAAACAGTTCTGATTCTGATCACTGATAGATAACTGTTTCATTTGGAGCCGTGTTTCCGTCTCTAGTTGATAGGATTAGCTGTCAGCATCCTACTGCATGACAGATGGTCAGTGGGCCGTTGGAAGTTTGTCACTAGTACACTTTGACACACTTTAGCCAAGTGAACTAATACTTTATATACAGTAGCATATATAAAGGCTTCATAAGCACTACATACAGGCTTCATAAGCACCACATTCAGGCTTCATAAGCACTACATACAGGCTTCATAAGCACTTCATACAGGCTTCATAAGCACTACATACAGGCTTCATAAGCACTTCATACAGCTTTTTCCACATGCAGGTTGGAGGATTCACGGATTTCCTGTTTATTCCACCCTGATTCCAGGACTCTTCCAACCGTGATTTCCGGAAAAGCATGGATTTTGGGAAAGTTACAGGAATTTTGCAACCCTAGCAGTTTATACCTTCACCATCACAGTACTCCAAAATGGAGGGATCCTCCCGTATGGTTGCTGTTAATGTGTTGACGTCCCCATTGGCGGCTGCTTGGTAAACAACGTTAAGATCCACTTCTTCAGCAGAATCTATAGGAGCCAGGGATACAAATACAATGTGGTTATACATATATCAATGTGGTTATACATACATCAATGTGGTTATACATACAGTTGAAGTCGGAGGTTTACATACACCTTAGCCAAATACATTTAAACTCAGTTTTTCACAATTCCTGACATTTAATCCTAGTAAAAAGTCCCTGTCTTAGGTCAGTTAGGATCACCACTTTATTTTAAGAATGTGAAATGTCAGAATAATAGTAGAGAGAATGATTTATTTCAGCTTTTATTTCTTTCATCACATTCCCAGTGGGTCAGAAGTTTACATACACTCAATTAGTATTTGGTAGCATTGACTTTAAATTGTTTAACTTGGGTCAAACGTTTCAGGTAGCCTTCCACAAGCTTCCCACAATACGTTGGGTGAATTTTGGCCCATTCCTCCTGACAGAGCTGGTGTAACGGAGTCAGGTTTGTAGGCCTCCTTGCTCGCACACGCTTTTTTAGTTCTGCCCACATATTTTCTATAGGATTGAGGTCAGGGCTTTGTGATGGCCACTCCAATACCTTGACTTTGTTGTCCTTAAGCCATTTTGCCACAACTTTGGAAGTATGCTTGGGGACATTATGACAAGTACTGATATACGAAGAGGCAGGACGCAGACGCAGGAAGTAACAAGGTCAAGGTTTACTTAATAATGAGAAAGAGAATAACAAAGAGAGAGTAAACGACACAACGCTTAACAATCACACACAACAAAATACAGAACAGTCCAGGGCTAAATAGGGGTGGTGATGAGATGATGAGGTGCAGGTGCGCTGGAGGGTGCGTTGGGTTTCCATTCTGGTGTTGCCGAGGTGGTGCGCTCAGACCGGTGGCTCAGTAGACCGGCGAATCAGAGCGCCGGAGAGGAGCAACGGGAGGAGACGTGACAGTACCAACCCCCCCAACCCCCCGGACGCACGGCTCCAGCCGCATGACGTCGCTGGCCAGGAGGACAACCCCGAGGACGAGGAGCGGGCCGGTCAGGGCAGCGACGGTGGAAGTCCCGAATTAGGTTGGGGTCCAGAACGTTTCCAGCCGGAACCCAGCTCCTCTCCTCAGGACCATACCCCTCCCAGTCCAACAGGTAATGGAGCTGTCCCCACGGAACCTGGAGTCCAGCAGATCTCTCACCGGATACGCCGGACTCCCGTCAATGTCCAGGGGCGGAGGAGGCGTACCCCGGGGGACGGCATCTGCCAGCGGACCAAGAACCACCGGCCTGAGGAGAGACACATGAAAAGTGGGTGAGACACGGTAGTGAGGGGGAAGGAGCAGCCGGTATGATACCTAATTTATCTGTCGGAGGACCTTAAACGGCCCCACAAACCGGGGGCTCAGTTTCTTGCAGGGCAGGCGGAGAGGGAGGTTTTTTGTGGACAGCCAGACACGATCACCAGGCTGGAATACCAGGGCCTCACTGTGGTGGCGGTCGGCTTGGTCCATCTGCCGACGAATGGCCCTCTGGAGATGGACATGTGCGGCATATTCTGCCCAGGGAAGAAACCTTGCCCACTCACCCTGCCGGTCCTGACAGTGGCAAAGATGAAACCTCCCCAGCTCCTGGTTCATGCGCTCCACCTGCCCATTCGACTGAGGCCTATACCCGGGAAGTGAGGCTGGCCGTGGCCCCGATCTTCTCCAGGAAAGCCTTCCACACTCGGGAGGTGAATTGGGGGCCACAGTCTGAGACGATGTCCTCCGGAAGTCCATAATGCCGGAAGACCTGTTGGAACAGGACCTCAGCGACCTGGAGAGCAGAAGGAAGACCAGTTAGTGGCAAAACACGGCATGATTTGGAGAACCGATCTACCACCATGACTGTGGTGAAGCCGTCAGAACGTGGAAGGTCAGTGACAAAGTCTATGGACAGGTGTGACCAAGGTCGCTGAGGCACTGGGAGAGGAACTAGTTTGCTTGCCGGGGCGTTCCGAGGTGTCTTCGTTTGGGCACATACGGAACAGGAGTTGACATAGCGGGAGACATCAGAAGCCAAAGTGGGCCACCAGTACCTTTGGGCTAGAGAAAGCAGGGTGCGCGTAATACCAGAGTGCCCTGCCGTAAGGGTGGTGTGCGCCCAGATCAGCAGGCGGTCATGGACACTGGTGGGTACATACATGCGCCCCAGAGGGGCGTTGGCAGGCGTTGGGTCCTCCTGAGCCACCAGGCGGATGTCTTCATCCACATCCCAAACGACAGGTGCCACGATGAGAGACGAGGGCAGGATAGGACCCCCCAGATCCTTCCTTTCTCCGGTATGGTGCATACTGGAGAGTGCGTCGGCTTTCACATTCTGGGATCCTGGGCGGTAGGACAGAATGAATTGAAAACGAGTAAGAAATTGGGCCCACCTGGCTTGACGAGAGTTCATCCGTTTCGCTGCCCGTATGTGCTCCAAATTCCGGTGGTCAGTAAGAATCCGGAATGGATGGACTGCGCCCTCCAGCCAGTGTCTCCATTCCTCCAGAGCGAGGACCACTGCCAACAGCTCCCTGTCTCCAACTCCATAGTTCCTCTCTGCGGGGGTAAGCTTTTTAGAGAAAAAGGCACAGGGATACATTTTCTCTGGCTTACCGTGCCACTGGGAGAGGACCGCACCCACACCCTCCTCTGATGCGTCCACCTCCAGGATGAAAGGACGAGAGGGATCTGGGTGTTTTAGGATGGGCGCTATGGTGAACCTCTCCTTCAGCCTCTTGAAGGCAGCGTCAGCCTCAGGGTTGCTGCCCACCTCCATGACTGAGGACTCGGAAGCAGGGCAGCTTCCATAGCTCAGATGGGGTGAGTGTCGAGGCTCCGGAAGGTGTTGGGAAAGCCATCTCTCTCTCAACATGTCGTCAAGGCGGATGGACGTGGTGATGAGGGTTCAAGGTCTATCTCGTCGTCCCGACATGCGAGTTCCGTCTTAATGTCCTCCCGTAAGCCTCTCCTGAAGGCCGTGCGCAGAGCACGCTCATTCCAGCCGGAAGATGACGCCATCGTGCGAAAGCTCAGAGCGTACTCGGACGCGGGCCCCTCTCTCTGTTGTAGATGGAGGAGACGCTCCCTGTCCTTTCCCTCCGTGGGATGATCAAACACCACCCTGAACCGAGTGAGGAAGGTGGGGTAGGGAAGTGCCACTGCCTCCTCTCCTTCCCAGACTGCCGTGGCCCAATCCAGCGCCTTTCCTTTAAGTAGCGAAATCACCAGCGCTATCCTGGCTTGGTCAGATGGATATGCCCCAGGCTGACGCGCCAGATAAAGGGAAACCTGTAGCAGGAAGCCGCTACATTTAGTAGTTTTACCGTCATAGTGCTCCGGTAGGGCAAGTGTTCCTGCAGAAGTGGTTGATAGCACGGGAACAGGTGGATTGGATGCACTCGCCTCTCCCTGAGGTGGAACCGGAGCGCTGGGCAGATTATGCAGAGTTTGGAGCACTATCTGCATGGTGGCGTTCAACTGGGCAAGCTGCTGCTGGTGCTGGTCGAGGCACTGGGAAACTCCTGCTGCATCGGAGACGTGACAGTCCTTGTCCATTTGGAAGACCCATTTGCGACCAAGCTTTAACTTCCTGACTGATGTCTTGAGATGTTGCTTCAATATGTGCACCAGTCCCTCCTGCAGCAAAGCACTCCTACAGCATGATGCTGCCACCCCTGTGCTTCACGGTTGGGATGGTGTTCTTCGGCTTGACATAACGATGGTCATTATGGCCAAACAGGTCTATTTTTGTTTCATCAGACCAGAGGACATTTCTCCAAAAAGTACGATCTTTGTCCCCATGTGCAGTTGCAAACCGTAGTCTGGCTTTTTTATGGCGGTTTTGGAGCAGTGGCTTCTTCCTTGCTGAGCGGCCTTTCAGGTTATGTCGATATAGGACTCGTTTTACTGTGGATATAGATACTTTTGTACCTGTTTCCTCTAGCATCCTCACAAGGTCCTTTGCTGTTTTTCTGGGATTGATTTGCACTTTTCGCACCAAAGTATGTTCATCTCTAGGAGACAGAACGCGTCTCCTTCCTGAGCGGTATGACGGCTGCGTGGTCCCATGGTGTTTATACTTGCGTACTATTGTTTGTACAGATGAATGTGGTACCTTCAGGCGTTTGGAAATTGCTCCCAAGGATGAACCAGACTTGTGGGGGTCTACAATTTTTTTCTTGGCTTTCTTTTGATTTTCCCATAATGTCAAGCAAAGAGGCACTGAGTTTGAAGGTAGGCCTTGAAATACATCCACAGGTACACCTCCAATTGACTCAAATTATGTCAATTAGCCTATCAGAAGCTTCTAAAGCCATGACATCATTTTCTGGAATTTTCCAAGTTGTTGAAAGGCACAGTCAACTTAGTGTATGTAAACTTCTGACCCTCTGGTATTGTGATACAGTGAATTATAAGTGAAATAACCTGTCTGTAAACAATTGTTGGAAAAATTACTTGTGTCATGCACAAAGTAGATGTCCTAACCGACTTGCCAAAACTATAGTTTGTTAACAAGAAATTTGTGGAGTGGTTGAAAAACGAGTTTTAATGACTCCAACCTAAGTGCATTTAAACTTCCGACTTCAACTGTACATCAATGTGGTTATACAGTACATACATCAATGTGGTTATACTGTACATACATCAATGTGGTTATACTGTACATACATCAATGTGGTTATACATACATCAATGTGGTTATACATACATCAATGTGGTTATACATACATCAATGTGGTTATACATATATCAATGTGGTTATACATACATCAATGTGGTTATACATACATCAATGTGGTTATACAGTACATATATCAATGTGGTTATACATACATCAATGTGGTTATACATACATCAATGTGGTTATACATATATCAATGTGGTTATACATACATCAATGTGGTTATACATACATCAATGTGGTTATACATACATCAATGTGGTCATACAAACATCAATGTGGTTATACATACATCAATGTGGTTATACATACATCAATGTGGTTATACATACATCAATGTGGTTATACATATATCAATGTGGTTATACATACATCAATGTGGTTATACATACATCAATGTGGTTATACATACATCAATGTGGTCATACAAACATCAATGTGGTTATACATACATCAATGTGGTTATACATACATCAATGTGGTTATACATACATCAACGTGGTTATACATACATCAACGTGGTTATACATACATCAATGTGGTTATACATACATCAACGTGGTTATACATACATCAATGTGGTTATACATACATCAACGTGGTTATACATAAATCAATGTGGTTATACATACATCAATGTGGTTATACATAAATCAACGTGGTTATACATACATCAATGTGGTTATACATACATCAACGTGGTTATACATAAATCAATGTGGTTATACATACATCAATGTGGTTATACATACATCAACGTGGTTATACAGTACATACATCAATGTGGTTATACATACATCAATGTGGTTATACATATATCAATGTGGTTATACATACATCAATGTGGTTATACATACATCAATGTGGTTATACATACATCAATGTGGTCATACAAACATCAATGTGGTTATACATACATCAATGTGGTTATACATACATCAATGTGGTTATACATACATCAATGTGGTTATACATATATCAACGTGGTTATACATAAATCAATGTGGTTATACATACATCAATGTGGTTATACAGTACATACACTACTGGTCAAAAGTTTGGACACACCTACTCATTCAAGGGTTTTTCTTTATTTTTACTATTTTCTACATTGTACAATAATAGTGAAGACATCAAAACTATGAAATAACACGTATGGAATCATGTAGTAACCAAAAAAGTGTTAAACAAATAAAAATACATTTTATATTTGAGATTCTTCAAATAACCACCCTTTGCCTTGATGACAGCTTTGAGCACTCTTGACATTCTCTCAACCAGCTTCACCTGGAATGCTTTTCCAACAGTCTTGAAGGAGTTCCCACATATGCTGAGCACTTGTTGGCTTCTTTTCCTTCACTCTGCGGTCCGACTCATCCAAAACCATCTCAATTTGGTTGAGGTCTGGGGATTGTGGAGGCCAGGTCATCTAATGCAGCACTCCATCCCTCTCCTTCTTGGTCAAATAGCACTTACACAGCCTGGAGGTGTGTTGGGTCATTGTCCTGTTGGAAAAAAAATGATAGTCCCACTAAGACCAAACCAGATGGGATGGCGTATCGCTGCAGAATTCTGTGGTAGCCATGCTGGTTAAGTGTGCCTTGAATTCTAAATAAATCACACACAGTGTCACCTGCAAAGCACCCCCACACCATAACACCTCCTCCTCCATGCTTTACAGTGGGAAATGCACATGCGGAGCTCATCCGTTCACCCACACAGCGTCTCACAAAGACACGGCGGTTGGAACCAAAAATCTCAAATTTGGACTCCAGACCAAAGCACACATTTCCACCTGTCTAATGTCCATTGCTCGTGTTTCTTGGCCCAAGCAAGTCTCTTCTTATTATTGGTCTCCTTTAGTGGTGGTTTCTTTGCAGCAATTCGACCATGAAGGCCTGATTCACACAGTCTCCTCTGAACAGTTGATGTTGAGATGTATCTGTTACTTGAACTCTGTGAAGCATTTATTTGGGCTGCAATTTCTGAGGCTGGTAACTCTAATGAACTTATCCTCTGCAGCAGAGGTAACTCTGGCTCTTCCATTACTGTGGCGGTCCTCATGAGAGCCAGTTTCATCATAGCGCTTGATGGTTTTTGCGACTGCACTTGAAGAAACTTTCAAAGTTTGAAATGTTCCGTATTGACTGATCTTCATGTCTTAAATTAATGATGGACTGTCGTTTCTCTTTGCTTATTTGAGCTGTCTTGCCATAATATGGACTTGGTCTTTTATCAAATAGGGCTATCTTCTGTATATCCCTTACTTTGTCACAACATTTACATTTACATTTTAGTCATTTAGCAGACGCTCTTATCCAGAGTGACTTACAGTTAGTGAGTACATACATTAATTTATTTTATTTTTTCATACTGGCCCCCCGTGGGAAACGAACCCACAACCCTGGCGTTGCAAACGCCATGCTCTACCAACTGAGCTACATCCCTGCCGGCCATTCCATCCCCTACCCTGGACGACGCTGTGCCAATTGTGCGCCGCCCCATGGGTCTCCCGGTCGCGGCCGGCTACGACAGAGCCTGATTGGCTCAAACGCATTAAGAAGGAACGAAATTCCACAAATTAACTTTTAAGAAGGCACACCTGTTAATTGAAATGCATTCCAGGTGACTACCTCATGAAGCTGGTTGAGAGAATGCCAAGAGTGTGCAAAGCTGTCATCAAGGCAAAGGGTGGCTATTTGAAGAATCTCAAATATTAAATATATTTTGATTTGTTTAACACTTTTTTGGTTACTACATGATTCCATATGTGTTATTTCATAGTTTTGATGTCTTCACTATTATTCTACAATGTAGAAAATAGTAAAAATAAAGAAAAACCCTTGAATGAGTAGGTGTTCTAAAACTTTTGACCGGTAGTGTACATCAATGTGGTTATACATACATCAATGTGGTTATACATACATCAATGTGGTTATACATACATCAATGTGGTTATACATACATCAATGTGGTTATACATATATCAATGTGGTTATACATACATCAATGTGGTTATACATCCATCAATGTGGTTATACATATATCAATGTGGTTATATGCACATAAATGTGGTAATGCATACATCAATGTGGTTATACATACATCAATGTGGTTATGCATATATCAATGTCAATATAATATTTTTAATTCATAGATGGAGCATGCTCAATTTGGATTATATACTGTAAGTCCTGCAATAACTCGTGCAACAAACGCAAAAATATTGAATAATGTATAGAATGTAATACAATATATGAATGGATGTAGACCATTGGGAAGAAACCCTCAACATAGCCATTTTGAAGACTGACGGATTTGGAATGTGTATTTGTTTACATAGTGTTGTGTACATTGGAAGTAGAAGAAGTGTGCTATTTGTAAGGACCTGTAGACCTCGACCTGTAGGTGCATATGAACTTTATATGAACTTTACTGCTATAGGAACTTTACACGCTTAGGAAAAAATGGTTATTTGTTTCATGTGGAACCCTTTGGTGGTGAAAAAGGTTTTACTTAGAACCTTTTAGTGGTCAAACGGTTCCACGTAGAACCTTGTATTAGTGAAAGGGTTCCATTAAGGGGACAATTATGGTTCTAGGTAGAACCTTCTTTTCGAATAGTCATGGACACGGCTGATGGGTGAGGAAGGACATCCCTCCGTCAATATATTGAGGGAACCTTTCTTGTCTCATCGATTGATTAAGAGGGGATATATTATGCAATCCATCAAATCATTACATTTAAGTGAGAGTCAGTCCGGGAAATCCACTGACATGACACAATCTGGCTCAACCGCCATAACACCACCAGAACCTCTCCATAACACAACCACAACACGACCAGAACCTCTCCATAACACCACCACAACCTCCACAACACAGGACCATGGAGGGGAGGACAGCTTATAATAATGGCTGGAATAGTCTCAAACACAAGGAACCGATGTGTTTTATGAGTTCGATACCATTCGATTTATTCAGTTCCAGCCATTACTATGAGCCTGTCCTCCCCAAATAACGTGCCACCATCCTAATATAATATTTAGCAGACATTTTTATCCAAAGCGACTTACAGTCATGTGTGCATACATTTTTACGTATGGGTGGTCCCGGGGATCGAACCCACTACCCTGGCGTTACAAGCGCCATGCTCTACCAATTGAGCTACAGAGGACCGCAACACAACCGCAACATTCCTAATGTGTGCTACCCACATTTTAGTCATTTAGCAGACGCTCTTATCCAGAGCAACTTACAGTTAGTGAGTGCATAAATTTTTATATATACATATTTTTTTTATACTGGAATCAAACCCACAACACTGGCGTTGCAAATGCCATGCTCTACCAATTGAGCTACATCCCTGCCAGCCATTCCCTCCCCTACCCTGGACGACGCTGGGCCAAATGTGCGCTGCCCCATGGGTCTCCCGGTCGCGGCCGGCTACGACAGAGCCTGGATTCGAACCAGGATCTCTAGTGGCACAGCTAGCACTGCAATGCAGTGCCTTAGACCACTGCGCCACCCCTTTCCATTGCCCCAGGGTGTCATATTGAATTCCAATCAGAGAAATATGATTCATAGAAATATAAGGAGTAGAATGGCCTACAAATGAGGGTTCCCCTAGATCTACTATATCTAACAGGAAGAATGCACTCTAGGACTCTGGACAATCTCTGGATAAAGTAGAGCTCTTGCTGGATAATCTTCCGAGGACTCTGGACAGACACCATACAATACCAAGGGGATAATCTTCCGAGGACTCTGGACAGACACCATACAATACCAAGGGGATAATCTTCTGAGGACTCTGGACAGACACCATACAATACCAAGGGGATAATCTTCCGAGGACTCTGGACAGACACCATACAATACCAAGGGGATAATCTTCCGAGGACTCTGGACAGACACCATACAATACCAAGGGGATATTCTTCCGAGGACTCTGGACAGACACCATACAATACCAAGGGGATAATCTTCCGAGGACTCTGGACAGACACCATACAATACCAAGGGGATAATCTTCCGAGGACTCTGGACAGACACCATACAATACCAAGGGGATATTCTTCCGAGGACTCTGGACAGACACCATACAATACCAAGGGGATATTCTTCCGAGGACTCTGGACAGACACCATACAATACCAAGGGGATAATCTTCCGAGGACTCTGGACAGACACCATACAATACCAAGGGGATAATCTTCCGAGGACTCTGGACAGACACCATACAATACCAAGGGGATATTCTTCCGAGGACTCTGGACAGACACCATACAATACCAAGGGGATAATCTTCCGAGGACTCTGGACAGACACCATACAATACCAAGGGGATAATCTTCCGAGGACTCTGGACAGACACCATACAATACCAAGGGGATATTCTTCCGAGGACTCTGGACAGACACCATACAATACCAAGGGGATATTCTTCCGAGGACTCTGGACAGACACCATACAATACCAAGGGGATAATCTTCCGAGGACTCTGGACAGACACCATACAATACCAAGGGGATATTCTTCCGAGGACTCTGGACAGACACCATACAATACCAAGGGGATATTCTTCCGAGGACTCTGGACAGACACCATACAATACCAAGGGGATAATCTTCCGAGGACTCTGGACAGACACCATACAATACCAAGGGGATAATCTTCCGAGGACTCTGGACAGACACCATACAATACCAAGGGGATAATCTTCCGAGGACTCTGGACAGACACCATACAATACCAAGGGGATATTCTTCCGAGGACTCTGGACAGACACCATACAATACCAAGGGGATAATCTTCCAGCAAGAGCTGTATTACGAGTGAATGGGTTTGACTGATGAACGGCAGGAGGCTCACATGTTTTATCATATCAGCCTTATCCCAGGGCTTCAGATTCGAGGTCTTCACGGGTCGACCCAAACCCCAATACCCGGGACCCGACCCGGGACCCGAGCGGGTTCGGGTCAAAAATTCTAACTTTTCCCTCGGGTCGGGTCCTGTTTGATTGTCATTAGGTCTATGTAACTACAGCTGATCGACCCGAGTGGACCCGAATGGACCCGAATGGACCCGAATGGACCCGAATGGACCCGAGTGGACCCGAATGGACCCGACCACAGCTCTACATAGCCTATAGCATTTTTATTTTATGCTAACAAGGTGAATTTATTGACTCATTGAAGGCCTAGCCAACATATGGAGATCTATTCGTTAACCAGAAGAGCAACTTGGCTGATAAACATAAATGTTTTTGTCAATCGGGTCTGGTCCGGGTCTGGTCCGGGTCTGGTCTGGGTCTGGTCCGGGTCTGGTCTGGGTCTGGTTGTCGTCAGATCCATTCGGGTGCCCCTTTTATATTTGTATTTTGTATTATCGGGTCCGTACAGGTCGGGTCTGATTGTCTTCGGATCCGTTCGGGTCCAGGTCCAACTTTCTTGGCCCGAGAAGACCTCTACTTCAGATCTATGCCATAGGTCTCCGCAATGAATGTGAATGCAGTACCTAGTTATTGTGAATGGGAATGCAGTACCTAGATATTGTGAATGGGAATGCTGTACCTAGTTATTGTGAATGGGAATGCGGGTACCGGGTTATTGGTCGGGATGCGTACCTGGGTTTTGTGAATGGGAATCGTACCTATATTGTGATGGGATGCAGTCTAGTTATTGTGTGCACCTTTTATTGTGAATTTTGAATGAGTACTCGGATTGTAAGGAATGCAGTCTAGATTTGTGAATGGGAATGCAGTACCTATATAGGAATGGATGCAGGTCCAGTTATTGTGAATGGGAATGCAGTACTATTCATCTGTGACATGGGAATGTGTACCTAGTATGTGAATGTGGAATGCAGTACCTAGTTATTGTGAATGGGAATGCAGTACCTAATATTGTGAATGGGAATGCAGTACCTAGTTATTGTGAATGCATGATACCTAGTTATTGTGAATGGGAATGCAGTACCTCGAAATTGTGAATGGGAATGCAGTACCTAGATATTGTGAATGGGAATGCAGTACCTAGTTATTGTGAATGGGAATGCAGTACCTAGTTATTGTGAATGGGAATGCAGTACCTAGTTATTGTGAATGGGAATGCGGTACCTAGTTATTGTGAATGGGAATGAAGTACCTAGTTATTGTGAATGGGAATGAAGTACCTAGATATTGTGAATGGGAATACAGTACCTAGTTATTGTGAATGGGAATGCAGTACCTAGTTATTGTGAATGGGAATGCTGTACCTAGTTATTGTGAATGTGGATGCAGTACCTAGTTATTGTGAATGGGAATGCAGTACCTAATTATTGTGAATGGGAATGCAGTACCTAGTTATTGTGAATGCAGTACCTAGTTGTTGTGAATGTGAATGCAGTACCTCGAAATTGTGAATGGGAATGCAGTACCTAGATATTGTGAATGGGAATGCAGTACCTAGTTATTGTGAATGGGAATGCAGTACCTAATTATTGTGAATTGGAATGCAGTACCTAGTAATTGTGAATGGGAATGAAGTACCTAGATATTGTGAATGGGAATACAGTACCTAGTTATTGTGAATGGGAATGCAGTACCTAGTTATTGTGAATGGGAATGCGTACCTAGTATTGTGAATGGGATCAGTACCTAGTTATTGTGAATGGGAATGCAGTACCTAATTATTGTGAATGGGAATGCAGTACCTAGTTATTGTGGAATGCAGTACCTAGTTTTGTGAATTGAATGCAGTACCTCAATTGTGAATGGGAATGCAGTACCTAGATATTGTGAATGGGAATGCAGTACCTAGTTATTGTGAATGGGAATGCAGTACCTAATTTTGTGAATTGAATGCAGTACCTGAATTGTGAATGGGAATGCAGTACCTAGTTATTGTGAATGGGAATGCGGTACCTAGTTATTGTGAATGGGAATGCAGTACCTAATTATTGTGAATTGGAATGCAGTACCTAGTAATTGTGAATGTGAATGCAGTACCTCGAAATTGTGAATGGGAATGCGGTACCTAGTTATTGTGAATGGGAATGAAGTACCTAGTTATTGTGAATGGGAATGAAGTACCTAGATATTGTGAATGGGAATGCAGTACCTAGTTATTGTGAATGGGAATGCAGTACCTAGTTATTGTGAATGGGAATGCAGTACCTAGTTATTGTGAATGGGAATGCAGTACCTAGTTATTGTGAATGGGAATGCTGTACCTAGTTATTGTGAATGGGAATGCTGTACCTAGATATTGTGATGTAACATCCATTCATCCCCATTCATGCATAGAGCTCTCGCTGCAAGATTTCCCCTAAACCTTGGTGTATTCAAAGTAGAATCCACTTAGAGGGTTAAAAAAGGGTTCTCCACATAAAGGTATAAAACCTTTTCATTTAAGACCACACTATATGGATAAGATCCCTACACACTAGATCCCTACACACTAGATCTTGTTACCTAGTCATCCCACACACCAGCCATAAACCTAGCATCTACTCATCATGATGCCAAAGCCAAGTAGAGAGAACATAGCATTTCCATGGCAACAGCGGCAGCAACATCGCTCTCCATCTCCCTCTCCCTCTCCCTCTCTCTCTCTCTCTCTCTCTCTCTCTCTCCCCTGTTCCAGTTCCTCTTCCTTATTGTGATATGTAACATCCAACACTGGTTGCCTGCTTGCTTACCTTTCTGCTGGTCAAACACAGACGACGCGCTGAACTCCATGGTCAAACTAACACATCCTCATCTGTCCTAAATCAACACAGAGACAAGAGACTAGAGAGGCACATTTGCCTCTGTTGAAAACCTCCCTCACACTGTAGCCCAAGAAATCGCTCATCTACTTCTCCTCCTCCTCCTCCCCCTCTTCTCCCACGTCTTCTTCTTCCACGTCTTCTTCTGCCTTGAAAAGCGTTACATGACCAAGATAAATCCTCATCCAGCCATCACAGGAAAGAAGAGGAGAGATAGAATTCCCCCAAGACAGTCTCGTCTTGTCAATCACAGATCTTGGAGATGGAGATTCCCCCTGTTTCTCGCTTCTTTTCCCCGCTGAGGAGCGATGGATAAACGGAAGGAGGGATGGAGAGATCAATCATCCATTCACAGAGCTGAGTGGAGGGAAGGAGGAGGCTACAACAGCAGCTTGGCGATGGAGGGAGAGAGATATACAGTATGAATGAAACGAGTCAGGACTGGAGTCTCACTGAGCATGTGCAAGACAGAGTCAAAATTCAGCCTGCCAGCCAGCCAGCCACACAGCTAGCTAGGCTGCATTAGTATGCACCTTAACCACTCGGCCCCCTCGATAGGCTATTTTGAGCTTATAAAGCCTCTATTCAGAGGCAGAGTGTGGCGTTAATAAGGCATCTTCCCTTTCACGCAGCCTGCCAGATGACAGATGCCAAGCACCAGGAAGTGTCCTTTGATAATGTTGTGTATACTAGATACTGACTGGGTTTAAAAGAGCAGTTGGTATTGACAGAATGATAGTGGGATCAAATAAAATAACATGTTATTAGTCGCTTACACATATTTAGCAGATGTTATCGCAGGTGCAGCGAAATGCTTATGTTTCTAGTGCAGTAATACCTAACAATACAAAACAATACACACAAATCCCCAAAATTAAAATAAAGAAATGAAGAAATATCAGAACGAGCAATGTCCGAGTCCGGGAAAAGTGGAACGAAAGAGAAAAGACAGATGGAAAAAAATACTGTCTCAAGCTTCTCTCAGCCAATCCCCTTTAGACAGCACAGAGAATGCAACATCCTTTGGGGGGGAAATATTCAAATCATGATTACTATGTTTCAATGTGTACAAAGAACACAGTTCATAGTACACAGGCGTGTGAGACATTGCTGTAAATCTATGACCCAGGAGTTTGTTCTCAGTAAAAACTATAGAGGCCCATGCTCTCATGAGAGAGACATTTTCATTCCATTCATAGTTATTGTGCTGCCGGTCCAGGGAGGAGGACAGCCAGTTGATTATGAAAAAAGAGTCCATCCACTCTCACTGTGGGAAGATTGCCTGGCTCCGGCTGGTTTCCAGGCTGACGTGTGAAAACAAAAATACCTCAAGGAATTCTCCTCAACATGTCGCTAATTGATATCATGGGAGTATTTAATTATTAAGCACCCCAGTTTGATCTGTAAATAAAATTGTTATGAACATTTTCAAGTAGTGTTGCCAAACCTCCTGGTTAGGCAGGGAGTCTTCCAGAAATAATCTGTATTTTCTTAATGCCTAATTAAAATAAGTTGGACAATCCTACATTTTCACCTTGTGAAATAGTTGACCTGCACACAATCTCTTTAAATAAAGGCCCTAAATTAATAGTTAAATGCAGGACTTAAGCAAATACTATTTGTAGGCCAGGGACAGACTGGGACCAGAAACTGGCCCAGGCATGTCTAACACACCGGCCCATTTTGCGCAACCAGGCATGTCTAACACACCGGCCCATTTTGACTTTACAATAAGGATGAGCAGTTATTGTGTTTTGTCTGAGGCTAAATGACTAAAATGTAAATGTAAATGTTTGTCTGATAAAAAAGAAAATCTGTTATTGATTTAATATTTACATGAGCGTAGTTATTGTCTTTATCCACTAGATGTCACTGCTTCCTTAGGTGAGGTCTCTTTCTCTCGCTCTCTGTCGCTTCCTCTTTCGCTTTCTCAACACACACACACACACACGCACACACACACGCCCACACACACACACACACACACACACACAGAGGCCTTCACATACAAATAATAACTTGCAAGGATTGCCTGGACAGAAAAGTTTGACTTCATACAACAAAAAAACATTTATTATTCTGTTTTCCCTCAAACAATTTAGAAGTAAAGAAACGTAAGATCTCAAACTAAACAGCTTTAAAGGGGCAATCAGCCATTTTTGGACTTATCAATTAATTATATGCACCCATTGGTTCTTGAAGAATATAACTTATAAATACCTCATGAGCTTATTTCAACAGTCATACCCGTTTAGAACCCACTATATAGCCTCAAAACATGGTTAAAACTATAATGTTGACATCATAGATGGTCAGTCCTTGCATCCATAGCTCTGTCTATTAATCTGAGGGATGTTGCTGAAAGCCCCATCCCTCAGCTTTTTAATGAAACAGGGGCAGGGTTTTCGATTTGTTATTGTTTTTAAAGTAACAATTTAGTCAGAGCGACTTACAGATAGTGAGTGCATACATTTTCATACTGGCCCCCGAACCCACAACCCTGGCGTTGCAAACGCCATGCTCTACCAAATGAGCTACACAGGACTACCGCTTTAAGAGTCTCAAGTCAGTATACAGATTAGCCTGAATTAAAATAAAATATCGGATCTATACATCTGCATTGCTTGCTGTTTGGGGTTTTAAGCAGCTGATGTAAAAAGGGCTTTATAAATACATTTGATTGATTGATTGACACAAATGCGACTCCGCAACCCTAACTATTTATTCAATTTCATTTTTCCTTAGTGTGTTCAAGTGAGAAATGAGTTTCCTTTTCCTAAACTACAATATCACTCCCACGTCGGTTGATAGGGGAAATTACAGGCCATATATTTTCTTTAGTAAATCTCTGAGATGAAATACCATGGCAAACAATCTTTGACATAAGAGCTTGGTTTATATCAATATAAAATGATACATGACAGAACAAGAAGGACTGTGTATACAGTATATTGCATGTTTGGCTTTATTGGTACCCTTGTTCTAAAAGTCGAAGACTTAGAATGTCTAGACAGAGAGGGATTGTGCGTTTGTACGTGGGATAAACAAGTGCCGGGCAAACAGACAAGAGAAACGTTGTCCATAAACAGGAAATAATTTTCCTACATTCTCTCTCAGTCTTGAATATTGTGCTGAACAATGAAGGCACACTAAGGCTGAAAGTAGAAGCCAAAGTCATGCATAGCAATTTTACAGTATGCTCCGTCTGTGTCATTGGCATAAAATTAGTAGATATTGAACTTATAACAAAACCAGTTGGACTGTAGAAAAGGACCACAATTATATTTTTCTTGCACATACAGGAGTAAGGGATTTATTGTAGAAACCTTAGGTTATTCCTATAATCGCTTAATAATAGCATGGGAAAGTGAAAATAATATTATCATACTATCTACCACAAATATTCAGTAGTTTGAACTGGAATATGATCAAAGAGAATTATTAGACAATATTAAAGTTCCCGTGTGAATTTTTATAAAGAGTTTCAGCAACATTTAAAGACATCAAAAGACTGTTAGGACAAGGAGCGTTAGGAAGACCTTGAAAGTGAAGACAGGTCTTGGTATCCCACAGTGCCTTGGGCTCACATTGAAGACAAGTGTCCAACAACAATAACAGCAGCTGTAGTGGTCAGAGCCGTAGAGCAGCAGCAAGCTTTATCTTAAAGAGACAGTACTAGTACACCAGCAACACACTGTTGACTTCTCTCCAAGTCTGAGTGCACTTTTCAAGGGTCAAACAATCATCAAGTAAAGTAGGCAAACGTTCCTATTAGATGTATCACAACTGTAACATTTTGTGATGACGTGTCTTTTCTACTGGTCTGGATCATTTATTTGTCCCCCTACAGAAGTAACAGTAATTGACGTTGCTTTTATCTGAGAGTTGCTCTGTCATTGATTTCATACTTGCATTAAGTACTTGAGTGTAAATGAAAAATTGCTTTTTTTTTACCCCAGTGATTTTGTGAGGGGAGAACCTACTAACAGTAAAAATGTCATACTACATGCTCCAGAATGTTTGTACATTCAGTACAGAGAGGCCAGGGGACAGTGCTTCCAGGCCATTTCTATTCTCAGGCAGAAGTAAATATAACATTTTATGTGGGATCATGTCAGGTTAACAGCCATGGAAGGTAATATTCAGTTGTGAAGTACTGAAACAGGGCCCAATGTGTTTACATTTTAGTCATTTAGCATTTATCCAGAGCGACTTACAGAGTGCATGCACCATGCTCTACCAACTGAGCTACATCCCTGCCAGCCATTCCTTCCCCTACCCTACCCTACCCTGGGCCAATTGTGCACCACCCCATGGGTCACCTGGTCAAGGCCAGCTACGATAGAGCCTGGATTTGAACCAGGATCTCTAGCGGCACAGCCTTAGACCACTGCGCCACTCGGGAGGTTCTCAGCTGACCATGGGAAAGCTCAAGAAACCATCACCACTGGTGATATACTGCACCTATTTGCAGCACTTTGAGCCAGAATATTGCTTTCTGTAAATTGGGAAATTATTGATGTGTAAAGGCCTGGGCCTGTATTCATAAAGGGTATCAAAGTAGAAGTGCTGATCTAGGATCAGTTTAGCCTTTTAGATCATAATTAATAAAGATTTCATAGACAGGGAAAACCTGATCCTAAATCAGCTTTCCTACTCTTTATGAATACGGGCCTTGGTATGGATTTTACTGGACCCAGTAGTGGCAGTGGCAGTAGGAGATATTTATGAGTATATGTCATTGAGATATGCACTGCAGGACTAGATGTGTATCATAAAGCACATATTGTATCTTTCTCTGTTATTAATTTATACTACTAAAGATACTATTGGAGCCTGGCTGGCATGAAAGTAAGCCATCAGAGAGTTCTTTTTAGAACATTTTCTGATTCATGGATTACACTTCAGGGCAACAAATAAAGTGTTATGCAATTTCATTGAATATACACTCTTAGAATTAGTGGTGACTCA